AGTGCTCAATTGCGCTTAGAATAGAAGTAGGTAAGCTACCCTACTCCCTCTTATATTTATCTTAAATTAGAGTTAATTATAACTTAAATTCTAGGGTATTGCTTAGGGTTTGCGACTGCTGGGGCTTATTATTTGTAGGGAGTAGTAGTAATAGAGTGTGCAGCTTCACATTAAGTGTTAATATAACCCTTTCTAGGTTAAAAGGGACTAATCTAGACCCTTAGAACCCTCCCTAGATATTGTAAAGAAAGTAGGGGAAGGACTAGACTACTTTCTTCCTAGTCTAGAAGGACCTAGACAAATCTAGACTAGCTTTGTCTAAATAGGAAGTGTATAGCCTAATAGAGGTAAGGCAGGGTTATGTAATATAATAGACAAGTTCTTATATTAGATACTAGGTAGAGATTCCTAGGCTAGGTACAGAGCAAACAGAGGGGGGAGAGCTAGAGGTATTTATGCTTCCTCTCCTCTGTCTGTATTTCTAAGCAGAATGTTCTAGACTCCTCTAGGTAGGTCTACTTAGTAATCTATGCTTAGTATTACTGCATATGCAAGCAAGATTATGTAGGTGCATGCGTAATTGTATACGTTAGCATCTTATAGAGTAGGCTACTCTATTTATAAGCAGAGGGTCTAGAACATTTCTAGTTACTAAAAATAGAGAACAGCATATCTTAAGAAAGAGAGGAGATATAGGCTTTATAAGCATACTATTCTAATCCTCTCTTTTAGGGGATTATGATGACAATGCTTAGGTAAGCATAGCGCTATACCTAAGAAAGAAATATGCTAGAGAAAGATTATAAGAACAAAGTCTTATAACTTTACAGATATTGCTAGGGGTTATGGCTTTCTTGTAAGCTGCTTTAAAGCATAGCAGGAACTCCTACTCTGTAATATAGTTAATCTAGTTATAAATAAGCTTATTAACCTTATCCCTATACGCCTTCTTTAAAGGGCTAAAACAACCTACGTTAAGTGGCTGCAGGAGGTGCGATAAGTGCGCAGGCATACATAGAGCTATAATCTTGTAATCCTTGCAGTATTGCTAGAATTCTGTAGAGTTGTAGCTCTTATAAATATTAATAATTAGTATATAGTAAGTACTAACAGTGCACGTCTTTGTATGCCTGTTAAAGTGCTTTAACTAGCTAAACCTAAGCCTGTTAGTAGTCTAGCTATTTGTAGAGACACTAATAACCTAGTCTTAGGGTAGGGTATTATCCTTATACTAGTTAGACAGGTGTTAGTAGGCTTTAAAGATAATGTAGGCAAGAAAAGCGTATCCTGTGGCATTAATGCCCTTAATAACTATTACCTACTTATAGTTGCCTAGCTAGATCTGCTTTACGTGTCCTAACTTCTCTGTATCTATAATAACTACTCTAGTGCTTATATAGCCTATTATAAAGCCTGTCTTGTTAAAGTTATACATGTTATTATCTAGGATGCTATATTTAGCTTTAATATTAGATACAAGGGTAAACTAGCCCTATATAACCTTAGAGTCCTTGCAGAGGGCTTGCTTATAGTTGTACTTGTGATTGAAGACTGTTTTAAGCTCCTCCTAACACGAAACAAACGTGCTAGCCTACCTTGAGCTAACAGGGGCCAAACTGCGCTCTTTTGCAGAGAATTGGCCATATCAGCCACAGCTGCGAGCTGGGGGGACTCTCCTCGCGTGACTAGCTTAAGTATGTACGCAATAACCACCTGCTCCTTAGCAGCAGTTAGATTCTGTAAATTAGCTATAGTATTAACGCGTGAAGGTTGTCTAGTAAGTTAGTTGTGTAGAGTTATTTAGGGCGCGTTGTAGAGAGCTGCAGCGCGTCTTACTAAGAGATTAGGAGCTTGTTGAAGAGCTAGTAGCGCAAGCTGCATCTAAGCCTCTTTGGACGCGTCTATTTGACGTGCTTGTGGAGGCATTGGTGTAGAGTTGATGTTTTGGTGGGGTCTTGGCAAAAGTGGGCGACTCGCCCTACACCTACGTTATAAGGAAAAGCTATAACGTGTTTCACAAGCGAGCGCCGCACCCAACTGAGCGCCGCACTTCCAACAACAGAACGCCTGCGCAGCGCTATATCACAACACAACACAAATAAATAATTATTTATAGGCCTAGATAGTATTATTTAGAAGCTTTACTAT